ACGCCCACGCCAGGCGCCAGCGTGGGGTGTAGATGGTTTACTGGAAATAAAGGACGACCAGGCTCATAAACCCCCCGGGAGTGAAAAACCCACAGCTCTAAAGAATCAATTGGATTCTCTGTCGCCTTTATTGTTAAAGCTAAACTGGATCAGCCCTGGTTAGTATTTGGATGGGAGGCCACTAGGAAATGCCAGGGGCTGGTGGAGCAAACCACTTCTCTACTGTGGCCAAAAAAGATCAATGGAGGAGTCTATGAAGTCCCTGGGGATCAAGCTTGACTCGGGGAGGCTTTAATTAAATGAATGCCCACTCCCTCTAGGGCCACGCGTGCCTGCATTTTCCCAACCAGGGCTGAATCTGGGAAGGGGGCAGGCGGGTGGGGGGCTCAGGCTACAGAGATCCATCACGCGACCAGGTCTGAGCCGCCAAGTGAATCCTCCCCACGGGTCACTTGGAAAGGAGGAAGAGCAAGCCCCGAGTCCGAGCCCTGCCCCGCGTGAAAGCTGCAACTTCTTTGCACTGCAACGGGAAATCAGCCGTTGGGCTGAAAGCCTCTTCCTCGCCTGCAACTAAGAGTCTAATCCCGCCAGCCGGACCCGGGGGTCTTCAGCCAGCCCCGGCCTCGAGCTGAACGAAGCTTGGGTCTCCGGAGGGAAAAGCCTCACGCCAAACCATGGGGCGAAGCCTGACCCTCTGCTATTTCAACCCCCCTCTCCAAACCGCCATTACTTCACTCTGGTTTTGTCACTGTCTTTTCTCCAAGGAATCGTATCTGGTTCTCTGTCCCCGTTTTGTTACAGCCACCTCGTGCAGAAAGCCTCGGCATAAAGAGCGTTGAGTTGGGCATAACCATCTGCAGCTTCCCTAAAAAAGGGGCTGTCAAGTCAGGCCCGTGTTCTCCTCCCCTCCCATCTCCCGGCATCCAAGTTTTGATACTGGCTAAAGTAAGTCAGGGTTCTTAATACATATCTCAACTGTAGTTTAGTATCTGTTTTATCTAGAGTCTGAAAACATGGCTTATGCAGCCACGTTCTTCATTTTGGAACTAAATACTATGTGCTTTATGGACAACTGGGGACAAGCTTTTTCTGGCCTGCAGGACACTGGGGTACCCCTAGATGGCAGCAAAAAGGTGGGAGTCTTTTTTGTACCTCATTGCTGCCAACCTGTGGTTATCTGCAGGTCCGCAATCCAGATAAAAATCCTAAATGAAGCCAGGAGGAACCGCAGAAGGGCCCAGGACTCCCTGAACCTGCTTCTGCTAACCCTTTTAAAAATCAGCTCCACATGCTTATATGATACGCTACCATTCCTATGGCCTCTAGCCACATGAAATTCAGCTCTAAGGAGGCCCGGCCCTGGCAAAAGGAATCAGTCGTACAGTCTCACTTCATAACTAGAGGGACTTCACAACTAGAGGGGAAAAGATGTCAGCCAAACCACCAGGGAATTCTGGGACTTGTAGTTCTAGCACATCAGCTAAGGACCAAACTGGAAAAGGCTGATCTCAGATCCACCACCTAGAATGGATTGTTCTGACTTTCCATCCAAGCTGCATTGCTGATATCCCCCCATGCTAGTTTTAGGGCTGCACGTGCCTAGAAGCATGGATATTAAAAAGGGCCAGATCTTCCAGCCCACACCAAGAATTTTCCATCGCTCCTTTTCCATTGCAAGGAGACCTCGGCATAAGGAACGTCCTTAAGGACTGCATCTCAGGAGGGTGGACTGAAAAGGGGGCCAGGTAGACCTTTAGGGGACTCCGGCTGTCACTATGCACTGCGTGGGAAGAAGATGAATTGTTGGCTAACTGATTAATGCTTGCTTAATGCTGTGGAATGGCCGTACTGGCTTTGTAATGGTAAAGATATTCGCCTGGTCACTCCAAGGCATGGTTTAGCTAACAGTCTATGGCACCAAACGATTCTGATTCTAGGACGATGCTGATGCTAAGCCCAAATGTGGTTCCTTTGGGCTTGTGATTTATAAGCAGCGGCTTATGGCTTAGCATGCTGTGCAAACTCAGCCCGGTGGCTTATTCAGATCACAGTTAAACGAACCACAGCTTAATGTACTCTTCGCATCCAGCCTGGGCACAGGCAATAAAACAACACCAGTTCCCGTAGCAGACATCCAGCCTCCAGGCAGGAAAAGCCGGCAACGTGAGACAGTCTTCTGCCGAGGGGCTAAGAAATAATTTACAGTTGCTGGTACACCCTGATGCGACCATAGGCTTCTGGTACAAGCCATGATGATGCGTCGTGATGTCATTGTGCAAAAGTGACATCGCTCCCTTTCAAACGGCAGACCTGAACGCCAAGAGGCAGACTACGGACGCTTTTAAAAGAACGCTCGGGTACACTCTGCGGCTGAGGGCATTCTGTGCCAACGTTCCTTTATCGACACTTGCCAGTCCAGGCTTTTCTTTTCTTTTCAAAAGGGGCAGGACCCCCGACGTTACTTTTCCCCAGCCTGACGTCCAGCAGCCGTGCTGGACTTCGGCTCCCATCGTTCCCTGGCCAGCAGAGGAATTGGTCCAGTGAATCTGGAGGGCACCAGGTTGGAAAAGCTGCTCCGTTATTTCACCCTGTGAGAATACTAAAGCACAAAGCCCCCCAAAGGGGCTTGAAGGCATTCAGGAACTGGGGACCAGGAACGCACCCAACCAGGTCCGCAGTACGGATGGTTCTATTCCCTAAGAGCAGCGAAGTCCAGTTCTTTCCATACGTACAGGGATGCAGACTCACAAGCACAGCCACACACTCTCCCTCACATTCCCACACCCAACCACACAGTTAAAAAGCAAACACTTGCCATCATATCATGCACGTGTATGCAGACTGCACTACCAGCTCTGGCCAGCGGAGGGCAGCAGTGAAAGGAAGCAGACACACTGCACTACACCTGCTCGCCACTGGATGGCACTCGGTGGTGGAAAGGCATTCCCTCCACCCAGCCCATGGGCAACTCTGCCCCTAACTGGACATATTGCTACGCAGAAGGAGCTTTGCACAAACTTGTGCTTTAGGACAAACCTTAGGAGAAAGCAGAATTCTCTCTCCCATCCTGCAGGGACAGCAACACCATGACACCTTCAAGTCACCTTATGGAGAGGGTGCAACTGGCATGGCCACAACGTGGCTTGCAGAGACCAGAGGTGCAACGCGGCACACCTACCCCCCACAATTATCTTTCGAGCAAAGTCCTGTTCTGCTAGGGCTCATCTACTAGGAACAGTCAATGCTGCATTTATTAGGGAGTATCTCGGGGGCCGGCAACCCCTGGCATTCTGGGTCTGCAGAGTGACTCCAGATCATACTGTTAAAATTCAGCGGCAAAACTGCTAGTTTTCGAGCTGCACTTTTCTACTTATTTTGGCAGGAAAAGGTGCAATGGAGCGGAATTAAAAGCCTGAGGTGTAACACTCTATTTTGTCCTTTACACCCCACCCAATTCCCCATAGCAAAAAGGGCCCAAATATCCCTGTTATCACAACAGCCCCTCAAAGCCAAAGTAATGATCCGTTTCAAAATCGCAGCCCCCCCACTTCTCCGAAGTAAGATTTTAGTCCTGGCACCCTGTGCCATTTCCAAGCTACGCCCTTCAGAGGTGTGAGATGACTCCAGTTCAATCCCCTGGAATCCTTGGAAAATATGGCATTATAAAAATATAGTAAATAAATAAACCATAAACAGATCCCCCAAATTCTGTAGATTAAGGTCCAGTAAACCTGTAGGACATCCTGTTAATGAAAAAGAACTTAAATCTCTTTCCAAAGACCAGATTTTGGAAGAGTGGAGAGCAGGAACCTCCTCCCTCTAACTTAGAAAACGTAAACAAAGCTAAAACTTTCTGGCATCTCGGATTTTTGTAAAAAATGAGAATTCCCATAAGCTGTCTCACGGCAGGCAACAGTGTCCCTAAAAACTGTTTATTGTCGTTTTCGCCCGGGATACAAAATGATTCAGGACGAGCCGGGACTTGTTTGGAGAAGAGAACTTCCTTCTCAAGGCTTTTCGGTGGGACTTACACAACGGTGCTCAGCCGTCCTGTGGTTTGGAGAGACGGTGCAACCCCACTTTTGAGGTTTACAAGCCACAATCTATGGCTCTGCTTGCCGAGCAGATTCAACCTGCAGTGGTTACCCAACACAATCGTGTTGCGCAAATGCAGGTGATTGTTTGGTAATCGTGACCACCGCCAGGAGACCCCAAGGCCTGCTGTAGTCCGGCAGACAGAGGGAATGTGCTCGCAGATGGAAAGGTAGCTGTCCCAGCCGCTTCTCGGTGCGCACACAAACCCCCTACTCTTTTTTGGCCGGGCCCGCCCGCGAGCGCCAGCAAGCAGCAATGCGCTCACAGTGATGGTACATGATGACGCCCAGGAGGGTGAGGGCGATGCCCACGTAGCTCAGCAAAGTCAGGTGGCTTCCGAAAAGCCAACGGGAGAGAAGAAGGTTGCCCACCACGTTGAAGTTCCCGAGGACGTGGATGGTGAGGGCGGAGGTCAGCGAGAGGATGCAGAAGCTGGCCAGGTTGTAGAGGACCGAGCCCAGGCAGCTGAGCAGCACGCAGGTCCAGAGGCCGGCCTCGTAGGTGAGCAGGCCCTCCCAGGCGGAGCCCACCTCCATCCCCCAGGCAGCCACGAAGAGGAGGCAGAAACTGGGCAGCGAGGTCAGGCACAGGAGCGTCAAGGAGTCCAGCTGCTCGTCCTGCAGGAGGGTACCTGTGGGGCAGAGAAGGGGGTCAGCAAAGCTGCCAGGGCAACCCACTGCAGCTGGAAGCAAGATTCTCCCGGTGGGTTTCAACGAGATTTCTCAGAAGGGGGCTGGAGCAGAGCCGGGGCCAGAAACATCGGCAATGGCTTTCCGCTTTCACATCCAGCTGATCTCCAAGATTGCTACGGTGGGGACTTGCTTGTCTTGCAGCTGAAGGGAGAGGCAGATCCAGGTGGCCACAGCCTGCGGATCCCTCTTGGGCTCTGGACACTCCTGTCCAGAAGCCAACTGGGGTTCCCTCCTGAGAACTGGAGGAGACCAGGGGGGCGGGGAGGGGAAGGCAAGATGGCGAAAACCAAAGCTTAGCGTATCTGCCAAGGAGGAGAAACAAGCCAGGACCCCACCCCCCGCTTGCTTGTCTGCTCTCTGTGTGCAGCTCCCTCCTTGACCAGACATTCTGAGCCAGGATATGGCTTCACCCCGTGTCCACCATCACCCAGGTTCATGGTTTGCTGCATCCTCGATAAAACCCTGGCTGGGTTCTATCATTTCTGACCAGAGAAGGGAATTTGCAGGGGGGAGGTCCTCATGGCAAGGAATCCTTCCCCAGGAAAAGAATTTCCCTGCACACAGAAAGCTAGCAACTCAGGGGAAGGTGCTTTGGAATGGGCGGGCACACGCATGATGCCCCTGTTGGCACCTCCTCAAAGAAGGGGCATCATTCCCTGCCCTTGAGGTGAAAAAGAGCCATTGGTTGGTTTGGTCAATGTTATCCACACATACGAGCACACCTTCAAGTGGACACAGGGCACCATTTCCAAGACAAATCAGCCCGTCTCACCAAAAATCCGCCTTCCACATTTTTTCCAGTCCTCCTTTTAAAATTCAGCAGGCAGATGGAACAAACCACCCCAAGACTGGTAAGAGTCAGCACAGCTGGAACTCTGCTCCCTGAACAGCTGCACGCAACCCCAGAGAAGGGCAGAGACCTCAAGCGGATACAAGGCACCTATGTTGATCAACCAGGCGGGCACTAACCCCCCCGCCCCACATCTAAGGATCTTCCCAAGACACCTTCCACCCGTGCGCTTCCCGCAGAGGAATTCAGAGCTGGTGGTGAGAAGAAGGTGGAGAGATCTGCTCAGAGGACGTGGAGACTCCGAACAGCCTCGCCTTGACCGTGCGGTCCTCAAAAAGGGGCCGCGAAGAGGCTTTCAGGGTTCTCTTGCTATATCCTACAAGAAAGTGCCGTTCCTGGAATCTGTTCCATGTCTGTTTCTCGAACGCGCCTACCTCGAAAGGCTGATGCTCCCAAGCGTTCCCCTGTAGTCCTAAGGACTACAACCTTGCAGGGGGCAGGAAGCAAAACTTCCTCGGAAGCTAGAGAAGGCATGCAGTATGGTGGTTAAGATGAAAGCTAGGGCTGGGGAGAGCCGGGTTCCACTCTACTGTCGGCTGCGGAATCCGCCTGGGAGAATTTGGGCTGGTGCTTTCTTTTAGCACCCATCCTACCTCACAGGGTGGTTGTGCTAGTCTGGGGGGGGAAACAGGAGTGGTATAAAGCAGCTGGAGCTTTCGAAGGATTAGCACAGGGCTTCTCAACCTTGGCCACTTTAAGATGGGCGGACTTCAACTCCCAGAATTCCCCAGGCATTTCAACGTATTTTGATCAAAGATCAGCCAGTGTTGAAATATGTGAATGATATGAATAGGATGGATGGATGGACGGACGGACAGACGGACAGACAGACAGACAGATAATAGATGATAAAGACAGGACAGGACAGGATAGATCAATGTTTCTCAACCATAGCAACTTTAAGAGGTGTGGACTTCAACTCTCAGAATTCCCCAGGCAGCCTTGCTGGCTGGGGAATTCTGGGAGTTGAAGTCCACCCATCTTAAAGTGGCCAAGGTTGAGAAACACTGGCCTAGCAGAAGAGAAGCTTTGCAAATACACATCAGAAGGTTCCACACGCCAGGATCCATGGCGGCCTCGGAGCAAACTTACTTTGTTGGATGGACTTCAGGCCCCGCAAGAAGGTGGCGGCGAAGAGGAAGCAGCAGCCGGCTTGGTCGAAGTGCACCTCCCCGACGAAGCTCAGGGAGGCCCCCAAGCAAATGGGCCCCATGGCCGCGTATTGGAGGGGGTGGTGGCGCTTCCCCAGCAACAGTTCAGACAGCGTCAGGGTGAAGAGCGGGGTGGTGGTGTACACCATCTGAGCAAAGTCCAGCTGGACATGGTTGAGTCCCAGGTTCCCGAAAGCCACACTGGTGCAGAAGGTCAGGCTCAGCAGGAAAACCCGGAGCCTGGCTTTGGGCTGGAGGGCAGGATGCCCGGACCCCCTGGCCTGCAGCCTGGCGAGGGGTTTGCCCACCACCACGGCCGTCAGCATGTGCAAGGAGGACAGCAGCACCGGGTAGCGGAAGTTGTGGGTGGCAAAAATCCACTTGTTCAGGCTGGACATGGTGGAGCCGGTGGCCAGCCACGTCAGGACGGTGGCCACAAGGGGCAGGGTGTGGTGCCACCGGGAAAGCAGCCTCAGCCCCCAGCGCTGCGCAGGGTGATCCTGCTTCCAGGGCGAGAGCAGCCATGCTCCGGTGGCGGAGTCCATCACGGCGTCATGCTTCTTCCCCGCTGGCAGGCACATTGGGGAGGGCGACCTGGCACAGGCGGGATCGAGCTCCTTGGCGACCAGCGCTGAGCCCGGAGACCCCGCCAAAGGGACCCAACTGGCCTCAGGCGCCCTTTCCTAGCCAAGTGGGGCAGATCAACTGCTCCTCCCGTGGAGCTGCTCCGCCACAGATCCCTCGGTGCTTCTGAGCAATCTCTCCGGTTGCCTTCTCGCTGTCCGTCCCTCCCGGTGACTCACCGGAATCAGATTTCCTCTCCTTGCTTTGTGGGTTTCTCCGAGGCTGCCTAGAACTTGCAGAGAAGGAATCCTGGGGTGTTTGGGGACTTGGGCAAAAACAGGTTCCTCGAATTTCAAGGATTGCTGCGGACCTTTTCATTCAGCTCCGGCAACGCCCTTCCAAAACGACCCGGCCCCCGTCTTCTCCCCAGATGCTGGCAGCGAGGTCACCTTCCAGCCTCCCTGGCACGCTCAGCGCCCACTCCCCTCCTACTGCCGGCTTGGGCTCAGCCACGTGCGGATTCCAAGCAGAGAGGAAGCCGACACAAAGTTTTGACTGCCGAGTGGCTGGAAGAAAGCTCCACCTTTGGGGTAACCAAGGAGCGAAGCAGGAAGGGCACCGTAAACACTGACGCCAGTCCTACGTCTATGCCATGTGGAGCTTGGGTCTGGCCAGGCCGACTCATTGAGGGCTCGTGGCTGCGGAAATAAAAAATGCAGACTGTAACAGCAGAGGAAAATCTGAGAGAAGATGTTTCCAAACACCCCATCACCGTAGAAACCCAGCGGGCAGAGAGAGAGGGTCTCACCATCTGCACTTAGCTTGTTGCAAGCAGAAGCCACCCAACAGACCCGCCCAGAAACTTTTAATATCAAACTGGAGGAGGCTGCCTTTGAGCCAAGGCTCAGCTGAGTCTCTCGTCATCCGTGCTATTGATTGTGGGTTAATTAAACATGTTCACACATTCTGGAAGCTCCAAAATGAAACTGGAGTTCATAACTATTCAACAGAATTAATTAATTCTGAAGACCCTGTTGGCCCTATCCTGATCTACAGAGGAAGAGGAATAAGATTTCCTGGCTGCCCATTAATGTTCTAGATTTTTAATGACATTTTAAAATCTTGTCTTGCTTTTTGATCTATTGCACGCCGCCCAGAGTTAGTGTTTGAGTTGTGTATAAAATCTCTAAATAAAACTTGAGATGAATGGTCTAAAGGCAAAAAATAAGAAGCAGGTGGCCATTTATGGAGAACACAGCCCAAAGAAAATTTGAAGTTCACATATCAAGCAATCAAATTAGTAGTCTCTGAGAATTTGGCACATCCTGGCTTCAGCAGGAGAGAGGAATGATGGAGTAGCAGATTTGTGTCAGTTAAATTACAGATAAAACTGTAATTTAGAGAGCCTGGGGAAGTGGGGCAAAGTTTTATCAAGCAATCCGCTTTACGGCATGCCCAGCTAGAGAAGAGGGAAGAAAGACCCATGCAGACCACAGTGCTGAGAGGAAGCGCCTTTTGTACCGGCCCTTCTCTTGGGAAGGGAGAATCAAACCGAGCGCATATTTCTGGGTTGGGGAGGGAGAAAGAAGAAAGAAAGGAAA